GAAAGCTATGTGGACCGACTACGGGACTGTATATCCGAACTCAAACCAATTAATATTGTTTGACAATCGCAAGCGACATACGTACCTAAGGATCTAAGCAATTGCACACATGTTTGGATAAATTGTGGCAAAGTTAAAGCACCGCTTAGCCCTCCATCCGAAGGTCCTTTCAAAGTCGTTTCAATAAAATCTAAATATTTCGTCACAGAACAACAAGGAATCATCGACTCCGTAAGTATTGATAGTCTAAAACCGGTTTATCTAAATCATGAACCACCATATGTGTTGTTAGAAAGTTCGCCTGACAAGTAAGAACGAGAATTTTGTTTTAGTGTATAAGAAAGTTAGATGGGCACGGCCGACTATTCAATCAAGAATACCTACAGTTTTAGCTGCAGCCTAAAGTGTAAACATGTATCTACTAAGATCTTGTGTTTATTGAATTAAAAACGTTTTTTCGTCTCGTTTCACCTATTTTATTTAATTAACAAATACACTACGAAAAGAGTGGTAGTCTAAAATATTATGCTATCCACACTTCCTCAGATCTTTTGTTTTGATATACGAGCGTCATATTCATTTTTTTAAAAGACTAAATACATAAGCTCTTTAACGTAAACAACCACTGAGTAGTATAGGAGAAAACATATTAAAAAACGTAAGTCACAAAGAAACGAAGAATCTTCGGCTGACGTGAGTGCTGTGAACAAACTTCACCCGCCGAATTTACCGTTTACCTGGATTTTGCCACTATTAGTATACATTGGGAAGCATGGATGGAAACATCGAACAAATTTCCTGTAAACACATACTATAACATCACGCAATAAACCCTCGCAATTATGACGAATACAAAAAGCGATCCAGATTGCTAATCCGTTTTAGAAGCCGAACATTTATCAATTATATCTGTGTATTTTCTTTTTGTGCCTTATTATTTTGTAACAGCAGTGAAGCAGTTCTTCAGGTCTAACTGACTTTCATCATTGCTTTTAAAGTGAATTATCGTACTCTTTGTAATTTCTTTCTTCTTAACTGTATATTCTACATTTCCGGGTCGGAGAGTACTCTTATGAACCGGCGGCTACGAATCCGGCTATAAAAAGTGGTTATCATAGACTCAATGTCATATATTTGATCGAGTTCATTGGGGAGTTTGACTTCTGGTTAATTCAAACATATATGTATCTTAAGAGAGTAATCTTTTTCTTTTCATACCTTTTCGTACGCATGATGTCCAAATTGTGTTTATTTCCTCCTGGATTAACAATCCACTCTGCAAACCAAACGCTTACGTGGAAACAAACAATTATTAGTTATATTTGTGTAGTTCCTTTTTGTACCCTATTATTTTATACAAGCAGTGGAGCAGTTCTTCAGGTTTGAATGACTTCCACCACTGTTTTTTCTTTATTTTTTTCTTAAGGACTACGTATGAGGCAGGTGAGTAAACACCTGATATCCTGACAGAATGTGGAAAAATCCTACCTCATCAACATGGTGTTCGGCAGCTCTCTAACAGCACTTCCTTAGATATTTTTTTTCATTTCCCAACTCTTTTTCACTTACAAACCCCGATCACCATACAGAGAACATGCAAAAAATCATCAGCCATGGTTGTGGAAGAAATTAAATGCTATGAGATAATTAAATAACAAGATAGCAAGGGATGAGACATCCATGGAGTACCGTCGAATGTTGACGAAGTTGGTCATCATTGATTTAAAATCAGACACTGAATGAGCTAGTGATTTCTCCTAGGACTGAGAAAACGGAACGGATATGTTGTTTATAAATAGGTTGATCGATCCGACGTTCCCACGAAAGTCGATTATAGGAGGAAGCTAATGTAACAACTTAGGTTTATGATAAAGATTTGACCTCACCCAAGTACAGGTTAAAATAACAGAGCTCAAGTATCCATTCACTTACTAGTTTCGTATCGGCATATTTCGTACTATCATATATTGCATTTCGATAAGTTTTGTGTGCTTGAACAGGTAATCTCTCGCTCTACCGTGACTGTTCCGCCGCCTAAATAAAGACCTACTAATACCAGTCTGCTTTCTCCTATCAATAAAACGAGAGGTACCTGCAGACACGAAGAACCTTTTACCATCTGCTTGGATAGGTTGCCGGAATCTTTGTAGATAGTTATCTGATCCGATCTTGTTGATAATATTTTAATTATTCAGAGGCACCGAATGCTTGCGTATCAACTATTCCCTTAGTTATTTGCCACCATAGTTATTGCTAGAGAAACCCTTGACTGTATAGAATAGGCTGTACCGTTTAGGGATTTTATAATTTTAATCTTATTTATACGCCTTATTAAATTAGAATCGTCTAAATTGTACAGAGTGAATGTGTGTTCTCATATAATTGAATACGGATAACTCAGAAACGCTTCGTACGTTAAACAGAAGAACGAAGTCTGGTGTAATCAAATAAATTTCGTTTCGTTAGTACTTTGTCAAACCGTATATTGGGATTTCAGTCATAGCAGTAGGGTTTTTTTAAGTTGTTTCCTTATAGTAGATTGACTGACACTCTAGTGCTTTAAATAGATTAATGTAAATCATTCAATATAATGATGAATAATGGACTGAGGTAAGCATGAATAGAGGAGAACCAACGAAAACGAAGTGTTTGACATCATTTAGAACTCTTGAAATTTTTCAGTGAAATACAGTGTTTGGATACACAGATGAAATTTCGCTTCTATTGCTTGCAATTATGATTACCATTTTTTAGAAGTGTTTCTTTCATGAATTCATTAGTGTAGCGCAAACGTTCCATATTCTTTAGACATCACGATGATTCAACACTTTTAAGTCAAGAAAAATGATGAATTAACTATACGTGTATGCTGTTGGTCATATATAAAACTGTTGTTCATGAGGAAACGGAAATTCTGTCACACGGATTACATGTATGCAGACTCGTGTACACGTGTAAAAGCATGCATATATGTAAACTATTACAAGTAAGACCTAACTGACCTCTTGGTTTATAGTAATCATTAGAACCGTTGTGGTCGTTACTCTACTTGAGTGTTTTTAATACTATTTATTTTGGAGTGTTATTTGTCATTCGGCTGTCAACCTTCAGACTAACAAGATAACCCCCAAACATTCGATACTTGATCACATAGGCACAACTGATTCAAATGTGAAGAAACAATAAGAGACCAGGTCAACTTCTGGGATTTTTGGGAATAATGTACGTCTAATTACCCAAAAACCTAGAAAAAGCAAACAAGCCAGAGAGGTGGCGCAAAAGGAAAGCTGGAGGGATCTAAGTTAATCAAGAGGAGAAACGAAAACAAAATAAACAAATTTATACAGATCATGTTGAGCCACTGCACAAACCCACGTGCTTCTTCTTGTCAGCTGCTTTTATTCGCCTGCTCGTAACATCTAACTCCAACGAACTACAATGATTTCTTCCTCTAATGACGGAATTTAAGCAGTTCGCGAGAACCACCACCAGCATGCAGACTGAAGGCCACGACAAGTCGAGTCGATCAGCTATTTTATTTATGTTTGTTACATGTGCGACGCGTATAACGGCAGACTTACACGATATCAGATGCTAGCAGTGGCCTGCTCAATTACCTGTCATAGCTCAGCTTACGTCCTACCAATTCACAGGCTGAATTATAAGGCATGATCCATAAATTACATGCGCACAGCATGCTTCTCAAATTATTAAGTTTATAGTTGTTATAACGTAGACTCATATAGCGCTTGCTGTAAACCACGACCTTGAGGAGACGCGTACGTCAAGTTTGGTCTAGACGTCGGAAGTTTCATAGCTGTGCCCTCAGAGCAAGATTCTGAAGAAAAGAAAAAGAGAAACAGAAGAGCAGCAAGCCACTTGAATATGAACGCCAAATGTTGCTTAATACTGTGTAGTAGAACAGATAGGGATACGATAAATAAGATTAAATTCATAATATCTCTTGTTAGAGTGAAATGGAGTCAGAGGTTCCATATAAGAGAATGTGGTAATAAAGAACGATGAGTTGAGATGTTTAACAGATTGGAGTAAGCTCACATGAAGGAAGGGAAGTCAAGGCTGGTACAAGGAAAGCGGTTTATTAGAAGGGAATATGCATATAGAGGGTGAAGTGTTAAGAATTGTAATGACTATAACTTTTATTGTCTAATTTTTTTTTCTTTTCTTTTTTTGTCCATCCGATGCCAGCCACACAATCTCAGTGTAAAAGTCCGAGTTAGCATGTTATAGGTTGTCTTAGTAGAATAGCTAATCCAGCATAAAAATGGAAACATGAGTGTGAATGGTGAGCGTAGGAAGACAATCTATATCACATATTGATTGAGGTTTGAACATCTGGATTTCCTGTTTATTACTCAAAATGACAATTATATACGATTCCACATTCAGCATGCTACTGGGGAATAACACATATATGTTAAAACCCAACTATTCTGAACTACATTGTTGTGTTTCATCTCAACCAAAATAGTGGTCAGCCACTCAGGAGCTAGAAGGGTGGCTAAAATGCGTTATATAAATTACATCTAGAGAAAATATTGGCAGCCTGTAAAAGGTAAAGTTACTTTGTCAAGTGTGAGAAGTGCTTCCTGTTCAATTTGAAAGCCAAGTGACATAATGCTTCTCGAATGATAAACTTCGCTAGAATCTTTGTGTGAATATATTGGATACTAGGTACTCAGGATCAATGAAATACAGATTGAGAGATTCGTGTATACGCCAAAAATATGACATTGCTCTATTCACTAGTCACGTGACAGCAAGGGCGTTATTGTGAAATTCTGTCGATCACAGCATTAAGACCTTCGGAACTAGATGTTGGACTAATAAGTAAGAATATTATTGAACACCCGCGGAACAATAACATGAATGTTTGAATAAATGCTTTTCGTTCATTTTTTTAGTTTTCAAGTAGGCAAATTCTTTCTGTTTCACGGTAAGTAACTATAATTCTAGTTTGTTTTTTCTGGACATTAGTTACTGTGACAAGTTTGAAGTCAAGGACGCGTGAGAGCCTGGTATCATATGTTTGTTGTTTTGTTGATTTATGGATATTCTGAATAGTGTTCCCTCTATCCTGAAAAAATTTCGTACATCCTTAACAATTTTCGAGTGAATAGTCTATGAATAGTGTACTTAGGCGTATGTCTTGTGATTTATGTGCCAAATACCTTAAAAACAAACTGAAGACTTTGAGGTAGACAAACGGATGTGCACTACGGTCAGAAACATCACATTCTTAAACGTGCTATATGTTTCGACAACAAGTTTAGTGTTTCCTACCTAGGGCTTTTAATAAAACTACCAAGCATCAAGGATCAGATAGATAATTCCAGGTTTGCGGTAAGAAAAAAAGGCAAATAAGAGTTATAATAAAGGAAAAAAGCAAACAAATAAAAAGGAACATTAATGAAACGGGGAGTGCAATAATAAGATAGATCTTCATTTGCCTTCTGCATCAAGTTGGTTGACACTTTTCCCCTTTATACCTGCATTTTTGCTTCCCTTTCATTTTTACAAGTATACATAATAATTAGATCATGTCACCTGAGGTTTCCAACGATTGGTTGAGGTTGTCCCAGGAAGTGTGCATCTCACATGACATGAATAAACATTCAGTAGCTCCATGTACTGATGATAAGACCTAACTTCAGCACCGCTACCCTTTTTGATCTGTTACTAAACCGTGTAACATTGCGCCCTTAACTGTACAGGAGTAACGTGTTTAAAGACACCTTTAGATACCTAGGGTTGATGTCTTCATCTTCCGACTTGTCTACTACTCTGTGCTTGACTCTAACACTGCTACTCAGTGGTTCCATAAGAAGCGACAAAAGTCTCAAAACAAATAATCAAATGCTTACAACTAACTCATTTAATCAACTTCTTAACATTTTCATTTACTGTTGTAAAACTATGCAGGGTGTAAAAAGTACGGAGTAAAGTCGCCTTTCCAATTCCAAAGACAGGTCTCATCTGTGCAGCAATTGAAACAAGACAGTAATATCCAAGCGCACAAAACCAGCGTTTCTTCCGTCAACGACCATCATCTTATAACCAAAATTGGGTTTTTCTCCGGGTCCTTAGGTAACATGACCCCTACATTGTCTAAGACGCTCTCTTATTTGTAAAAAAGTCGGTGAACGATAGCTAACTCAGAAATAGATTTTGTGCGATTCCCATGGTATCATTAAGACATAACATGCATGAAGCAAAAGGGTAGAAAGAAATATCAATGTTGAGGTATCACACTGTCAATAACCTACTTCAAACTAATAAGCTACTTCTAGAGTTTAGTGCAAGACTGAAAATGAAGCGACATGATCTCATCAATGAATACGAAGAAGTACTCAAGGGAACAAATGTCCTATTGAGTTAGTTTATAAAGGTTGCCTCTTCTGACTACTTTCTGCTCTGAAATTGATGCCACACAGTTGTCTAACATCTCTTAGTGCATTTCGGCTCGCTGATTAGAGTCAATGAGACCTCCTGAGACACTATCATGTATGGTAAAGTAAGAGCTTGTCTCCCCCTCCTACCAGAAAAGACCTACATAACAAATCAGAAGGCCATCAAATTGAATAACTGTCTCGGGAAAGTAACGTATTTTGTTCATTCTGCACTTAAATTTATCACAAGTCAACTCCATATCATACGTTAAAATATAGACTGTTGAAATGCCTGGTTCGATCTTGATCGAATGCTAGTGTTAAAGGTGCAAAAATCATTACACATGATCATTAAACTAGTTGTCTGAGTCCTAAAACCGAACGACAATTATACGGACGACTGGGGACACACTAATTATACTGTGGTCCTTTAATAAAATAAAACTGCTTTAATACAGAAGACAACTAGGAGCAACATGATTCAACACAATCTACCAGACAATAAAGGATTAATCAAAGGTAAAAACATTATAAGAAAGTCAAACAGTTGTGACTACTGAATGTGAGGCTAGCTGCCTGTAGTTATGAAAGAGACTAAATTCACGATATTTAAAAAACTCACTTGAAGAAGCACATATTTAAAGGCACTTAGTGGATTCAAATTATTGTTCTTCATGAGCTGGTTCATCTTCTCAGAAGTACGCATCACTGCAAATTACAAAACATTGTTATACATTGTCGCATTATACAGCACATGATAATATTAAGTAGCATCTACTGCAAATCTGACAAAAAGTAGAGGTGTTTACAATCATTTTTGTGCAGCCAAGATGATGTTGTTTACTTGACAAACAGACAACTATTTCATTGGTTTTCGTCATGTAGACGTTCACATGTTAAAACCCAGTACTACGACGTCTTTTACATATCTTTTGACTCAAAAGTCGAATGGGACAATAACTGTTGGCTTTTGTTTGTAAATGGTGGTTGTGTTATACTAATAGTGAAGTGGGCTACAGTTAGAATGGAGATTATTAGTGTTTATTTAGTAATCATCAGCTTAAAACTTGCATGTAAACCTGCAACTCTTTCATTTTCTTCTACTGTTTATACTTTAATTGTGTGAATATTGCAGCTTGTTTTTCTCCCCCTTTCGTGCTTTAGGTCGCTTTTCATCGTTTTCTTTAATGGTAATTCGTCTCTGATCATCAGTTTTCTGTTAGCAACATTTATAAATCACAAGGACATGATTCGGCTCAGTAGAATAACGAAAATGTTTTCAGAAACAGTCTTCATTCAGAAGACAAGTTCTGTTCCTTCGATAACAAGAAAACTTTCTACTAACATTTGCCTGTCAGCTCCTTCTGATTGTGCCCTTCCTGAGCCTCCGTTGCCACCTAACAAAGTCATTTTGAATACTTTGGGTGAACCAACCTTTTCCTCTCTGGGTTTGAATAGCTATTGGCCTTCGGGTTGGTATCAATGCTTGTTGGAAACTATACATGTGCACCTAGATTTACCATGGTGGGGCGCTATTGCGGCTTGTAAGTTGCAATTTGTAGTTTTTATCTTTTGAGTAAGTAGTATGTTCATGATCATCCATTTAAAATAATAAATCCAAAAAACCTTTGCTGCATGAACTAATCACATTTGTGAGATAATTGTGGAAGAAATTGCGTGTTGCAAAACAAAAATATTTTCTGTCATAGCAAGTAAATTGTATCTTGAAGCATATGACAATTGTAATACTGTGCCAACAATGGATCTCAGTGCTTCATGTGTTAGGTTTACTAAATTTAACGTAAGAATCACCTGCCACCAAGTGTTCATAGTTTGGGAGAGATTCAACACAGCCAGTATCTTTTGTCGACATCAACGTAGAGGACCATTATTGATTTCATTACCATAGTTAGTTATTCAGTTGTTATAACAACATATTTTCCCCATCATTTACTCAATACTGTTGGGACCTACCAATTCCCATGCTTTGAGTGTACCACAAACTTCTTTACATAAATCATTAGTTGGTTTAAAGTTTAATGAGGATATACGTGTTACGTTGTTTTATCTCTTTTCTAGCAACTGTTGTAATTCGTTTATGTGTGTTTCCTGTCATGGTGCGTCAACGACGTCAGTTGGCTAAATATACAAATGTGATGCCTCAAGTCGCTATCCTACAGGAAAGTTTGACACGTGCTAGACTCTCTGGAAACTATATTGAAAGCAAGTTTCACTAACACCATTTTGATAGATTCATATTTTTTGTTTTCAACCAACTGCCTATGTTATAATGCAAAATTTAATGTCACAATTGCCCACTCGAAGTGTACTATGTCTAATATGTATTTCTTTACATCTTAGGACGTGAAGACGTTTAGTTGGAAAAAAGTGCTATATACGCGTTTGCCTATAGAGTAATGCCTCCTAAATTTTTGTTTGGTGAGGTCTCGAGGAAAGCCTCGAAGGTTAATTTGACGGTTGGTAAGAAGAAGAGGAGGCGGAAAGAGTTATCCTATTGACATATACAAAACCCTTCTTCAAGTTCATCATGTAACTGGTATCCCATCAAAGTCAATGTCGATCATGAACTCGTTTGTGAATGATATCTTTAAACTCATTGCTTCAGAAGCCAGCCGGCTATCTCACTACACCAAGAAGTCGACAATTTCAAGCCGAGAAGAGCAGACAGCAGTCCGATTCCTGTTGCCCAGTCGATTGGCAGAACACACTGTATCTCAAGGCACGAATGCAGTGACGAAGTACAATGGGTCTAAATATTTTGTCTGGAGTTTGTGAGTAAAGAACGCCGTGTTACAAAGACACGACCACATGTTTACAGAAGGTTTGGGAGAATGCACGAAGGCTGAAGCATCACCAACCCTCAGACTTGGACCTACTCCCGTTTATCGATTTCACAGACCTATGCCTTGTTCTGCCCTCCTAGTAGTTGAACATGAACTAGAACGGATCCAGAAAATGGGTTTTATTGAACCTGTGAACTCGGTTCGGAATGCACTAATAGTGCTGTTCAGGAAATCCAACAGCGCCGTTCAATTATGTGCAGACTACTCCGCTGGACTAAATGAAGCGTTAGAGCTTCTCCAATATCTTATACCTTAACCTGAAGGTCTCTTCGCCAAGCTAAACGATGGCAAGTATTTTGCAAAATGGGAGTTATCAGACCCCTATTTACAAATTCATGTAGCTGATGAAAGTAAAGATCTAACGATCAACACATACAAGGGGCTGTTCCGATGTAACCGACTGTCCTTCGAAGTTAAGACGGCACTCTATTTTCCAGCAAATTTTGGATACTATGTTGCAAGGCATTCCAGGAGCGGCGTCTTATTTGGACGATACCATAATCAGTAGAGCAGATAAAATGGACTTGTAGAAAACTCTTACTACTTACGCACTATGATCCAGCCCTTCCTATTGTGGTCGCAGCAAATGCGTCAGATTATGGAGTTGGAGTAGTGATTCCGCATATCTACCCCGACGGATCTGAGAAAGCGACTGCACACGCTGCATGATCATTGACAACGACAGAAAAGAACTACAGTCGGATAGAGAAGGAGGCCATCTCCATTATGTTCGCTGTAAAAAGGTTTCACGAGATGCTGTTTGGCAGACAGTTTACGTTCCTAACAGACCACGAACCACTAATGGCTGTTTTTGGATCGAAGAAGGCTATCCCTGTTTATACAGCGAACCGTCTACAACGATGGGCAACTACACTGCTGGGGTACGATTTCAAGATAAAGTATCAACCGACAACGGATTTCGGACAGGCGTATGTCCTCTCAAGATTAATTGGCTCCTATTCAAAACAAGATGTGCTTGTAGCTACCGTAGAAGCTAAGGCCGAAGTTCGCAGTGTTGACAGACGCAGTTTGTGGACTGCCATTCACATTCGAGGCCATTGAAGGAGCTAGCGAAAAGGATGATACGTTGAAGATCATTCGCTGTTTTATACTCAACAAGTTGCCTTCACTTCGACCCCATGAGGAGCTTTTACATTACTTTCCTCGGTGAGACTCCTTGACAATTGTCGATTCGTGCACCATACTTGGCTACCGTACCGTTATCTTTAAAATTCCTCGTCATCGAATCCAGAAATAGTTCCATAGCGAGCACCTAGTAATTGGTAAAATGAAGTCACTAGCTCAGAGATACACATGCTAGCCGTCAATGGACCGTGATATTGAACAAGAGTGTCGTAGCTGTTGGTCCTGTCTAGAAGCCGCGAAGGGCCCGAGCAATAAGTCTTACACAAGAGACTTTAAAGGGGGATATGTGTGGACAACCTCCGGGTGAACTCAAAGAAGCTCGGAAAGAGTTAAAAACATTCTACCCAATCATCTTTTGGAATAACATTTCAAAATCTTCCCGATTGGACAAATGCCAAAAACCACTGCACGCGGATTGGATGACTGTAATGATGATTTCGTTTTTACTAAAAAACTATAAATAGTTGGGAGTTTTGTACCATATTTGACACTGTTTAGAATAACATCTCTTCACACCCATCTTCTAACTTGCAACCTGAAGGGTTCTAGCGTCAGAGTGCTCAAGTAGTACGCAGTATGGTAAAAATCAAGCTTTAGATATAACAGTGTATACAATGTATAGGGTTGATATCTAAGTGTGAATTTATGTTATTCGTTGTATTAGAATAAATTATCATTTTTATTATAATCATCAGCTTTATTCAATATTATATTTTTGGTACAATATAGAATTCTCAGCGTAAAGTATTTCAACAAGTTTCCGTTTCTTTCTTCTTGGTCGGTCCTGGCGATAAATATTGAGTGATCGCCAGTTAGATGTTAGCAGTTCAGTAAATGAACATCTGAATAATGTGCATTCTTTTCGCTGTATATTGCTAGCAACCACATTGTCTCTTATTGAGTTTTTTGTAACTTTGACAACGAAAGGTTGTACACTTTTCAGAAACGCAGCAGAATAGGTTATGCGATTAATAAACATAATGATATATTAAAACAAACAAAAATAGATAACTTGTTGAAATATCTAGATGACAGGAACAGGTAGCCCAGATGCTCAAGCAGGCCGCCCTTTATGTATTCCATCAAGCTTTCCACCAATCGACGTATTTTTTTACTGATATTTACTATCTGTTGTATGAAGGATCGGTTAGAGAAAGCTCCAAGCAAACTGTATATTTGATATTACCAGACATCTGTTAGCCTGATTCCCGTTTCCAGACCTCGCGTCTCCAACTGGTACTTAGTATGACGTAAAATGTAGTGATAGAAATAGTATTTGCGATGCCTATGTAGTCTTTCGGTAGTTTTACACAATTTTCGGGATATGATATGAATTAACACTTTGGAAGCAATCGGAAACAGAAATATACCCCCATTATTGTCTCATAATTTACATAAGGTATTTTAAAGTTAGGTACGATAATCGCTTCATCTCACCACGCGTCCCAAATCTTCCAAAACAATTCATCTATTATGGGCTTATGAAAGCCGTTGAATTTCATCTAATTCATGAACTCATCTAAGCTAAATCACCACTGAAAGAGTGAAGGTACTGGACAACCGTTTCGTCCTATTGTGGGGCCATTCAGCAGTGTGCACCCACGACTCTGCATTCAGGAACCGAAACCAGGTCCTTTAGTTTCACGTGAACACCTAGCCTATGTACCACTGAACGGTGTTAATGTCTAACTTTAATCAATCCACAATATTGCACGACCAACTCCGGTCGCCTTTGGTTCATGATTTCCATGAAATTCAACAATCTCCACAACCCTGCACAGGCAATTATCACGTGCTCACTGGTGACTAACTCTGACAGGAAATTTCCAGAGTTCTAGTGAGAAACCGTGACCAAAACAGCTAAACTGTGTGGTATCGAGCCGTTATGCAACGAAAATTTTAGTTTGATCGTAATTTCAATACAGTCCAGCTTGAATTTCGCGTCCACCCTGAAAAAGACCCGAAGCTAGGTTGCCTATGCATGCATATGACGCCTCGGTAAATGGAGTCCCTTACGGAAATCCACTATATCCAGTTCGATATTATTCATCAGTCACAGAACACTTAACAGTTTGACCAAAGAAGCAACTTACACCAAGTCGCAAACCCAGTATTTCGATTTTGTACTGATTTGAGTTTTTTAAACATTGTATTTCTCTTAGGGCTTGTTAACGTTATATTTCTTCCACAAAACGCTCTTTCCGCTCATCATAGACTCTTTCGAAAGTTAATAATTGACTTAATATCAAGACTACATACTTTTTCAGTGACATGGAGCTCGAACAAGTTGGAATAATTTCCAGAGGTTATCAGATGGAGTTGACGCTTCCAAATTCTTGCCACCCTACAACCGCCTGGTAGCACATTACTGACGCCTGTATCGGTGATTGGTGCAATCAGAAATAGGTTTTTATTTATACACTGCTGCATACAGTGGGCCATGCTTCTTGACATTAATTAATCACGTGAATAACTCCCTATACGAACGGACACCCAACATCTATATTCAAGGTTTATACAGAACCACAACATTTGTTGAAAAAAGCTTATTTAGACAATTTGGTCAATAATACGTATGAAAAAATCTTTATATTACTGCATACAAAAATCTGGTTGGCAAAGTTTCTAAGAGTAGGACCCGTAAAATTCAGTTTCCATACGAACACTAATAATCTCCATTCTAACTGTAGCCCACTTCACTATTAGTATAACACAACCACCATTTACAAACAAAAGCCAACAGTTATTGTCCCATTCGACTTTTGAGTCAAAAGATATGTAAAAGACGTCGTAGTACTGGGTTTTAACATGTGAACGTCTACATGACGAAAACCAATGAAATAGTTGTCTGTTTGTCAAGTAAACAACATCATCTTGGCTGCACAAAAATGATTGTAAACACCTCTACTTTTTGTCAGATTTGCAGTAGATGCTACTTAATATTATCATGTGCTGTATAATGCGACAATGTATAACAATGTTTTGTAATTTGCAGTGATGCGTACTTCTGAGAAGATGAACCAGCTCATGAAGAACAATAATTTGAATCCACTAAGTGCCTTTAAATATGTGCTTCTTCAAGTGAGTTTTTTAAATATCGTGAATTTAGTCTCTTTCATAACTACAGGCAGCTAGCCTCACATTCAGTAGTCACAACTGTTTGACTTTCTTATAATGTTTTTACCTTTGATTAATCCTTTATTGTCTGGTAGATTGTGTTGAATCATGTTGCTCCTAGTTGTCTTCTGTATTAAAGCAGTTTTATTTTATTAAAGGACCACAGTATAATTAGTGTGTCCCCAGTCGTCCGTATAATTGTCGTTCGGTTTTAGGACTCAGACAACTAGTTTAATGATCATGTGTAATGATTTTTGCACCTTTAACACTAGCATTCGATCAAGATCGAACCAGGCATTTCAACAGTCTATATTTTAACGTATGATATGGAGTTGACTTGTGATAAATTTAAGTGCAGAATGAACAAAATACGTTACTTTCCCGAGACAGTTATTCAATTTGATGGCCTTCTGATTTGTTATGTAGGTCTTTTCTGGTAGGAGGGGGAGACAAGCTCTTACTTTACCATACATGATAGTGTCTCAGGAGGTCTCATTGACTCTAATCAGCGAGCCGAAATGCACTAAGAGATGTTAGACAACTGTGTGGCATCAATTTCAGAGCAGAAAGTAGTCAGAAGAGGCAACCTTTATAAACTAACTCAATAGGACATTTGTTCCCTTGAGTACTTCTTCGTATCCATTGATGAGATCATGTCGCTTCATTTTCAGTCTTGCACTAAACTCTAGAAGTAGCTTATTAGTTTGAAGTAGGTTATTGACAGTGTGATACCTCAACATTGATATTTCTTTCTACCCTTTTGCTTCATGCATGTTATGTCTTAATGATACCATGGGAATCGCACAAAATCTATTTCTGAGTTAGCTATCGTTCACCGACTTTTTTACAAATAAGAGAGCGTCTTAGACAATGTAGGGGTCATGTTACCTAAGGACCCGGAGAAAAACCCAATTTTGGTTATAAGATGATGGTCGTTGACGGAAGAAACGCTGGTTTTGTGCGCTTGGATATTACTGTCTTGTTTCAATTGCTGCACAGATGAGACCTGTCTTTGGAATTGGAAAGGCGACTTTACTCCGTACTTTTTACACCCTGCATAGTTTTACAACAGTAAATGAAAATGTTAAGAAGTTGATTAAATGAGTTAGTTGTAAGCATTTGATTATTTGTTTTGAGACTTTTGTCGCTTCTTATGGAACCACTGAGTAGCAGTGTTAGAGTCAAGCACAGAGTAGTAGACAAGTCGGAAGATGAAGACATCAACCCTAGGTATCTAAAGGTGTCTTTAAACACGTTACTCCTGTACAGTTAAGGGCGCAATGTTACACGGTTTAGTAACAGATCAAAAAGGGTAGCGGTGCTGAAGTTAGGTCTTATCATCAGTACATGGAGCTACTGAATGTTTATTCATGTCATGTGAGATGCACACTTCCTGGGACAACCTCAACCAATCGTTGGAAACCTCAGGTGACATGATCTAATTATTATGTATACTTGTAAAAATGAAAGGGAAGCAAAAATGCAGGTATAAAGGGGAAAAGTGTCAACCAACTTGATGCAGAAGGCAAATGAAGATCTATCTTATTATTGCATTTCTCATTTCATTCATATTTATTTTCTTCCGTCTGTTCTGTCTGGTTTTTTGATTGTTGGTGCTGTTTATCATCCGTACCTGCAATTTCAATAGGACTGATGTTTTCTGGTGTGTTCGAACCCGCTTCACAGTATGGGATGTTAGCACTATGCCATTCGGTTTACATCGTGTGAAACTTGGTGACAGTTTGAATGGTACGAATGTTATTAATTCCCTCAAGATTGCAAGTACAGCTTAACGATTCGATCCCACTAGCATGAGACCTGCTGACTAGCCCTAATCACCTAACCTAACAATACGGCGCATGGGACATCAGATTAAAAAATTTGAATATGACACAAGTATTCAGAGTTTGATAACATCTTAGTCTGTAACACTTATAATCGAATCGTGCCAGCGCAGTGAAATCAGAAGTCAGAGGCTAAGAATTTTGAAGATATATTTGATAGGTTATCAATATATCGAGAAGTGTCTGATCTAAACTGGCTAGCAGTTGTAGGAGAAGTTGAACACAGCGTTCCCACTTGTGATCTGGTGTGAATGCGTGACCGAGCACCTTCAGGCTAGGTGAGACCAGTAAAACTAATGTGGTCAGCATCAAACGTTGAAGACTTTCAGAGCTATTTATTTTGGGGATTAATTTACCGTTGCAAACTATTGGTCACACTGTATTTTGGTGGATTGAATTCAATGAGTGTTAAAAAGCCGGTCGAATATAAAACCGGTAACTACTAATTGATCAATCAATCGTAGTGTTCTCCTCAATGTTGACTGTTTTTATGTCCTAAGTAAAGTTCAGTATTACTGGTTTCATTAGTATTAGTTTTCAATCTTTCGTATAGTTCTTCCTTTGATGCATCATTTAATCTTATATGGTTTGTTTGATTACATATTTTTGTGTACACAAAAATTTATGATAAACCAATATTGATGATTGCTTTGATCTTTCTTACCACTGATAATGTAATGCTTTCATTTGCTCACAAAGTAGTTGGTTGGCTTAATAAGATTACATAAATTTCTGATAACTAATTGCTGTTTGTCGTGCACTTACCTGTGTTGTTGCTTAACATCTACAATGAACAGTACAATTAATTTAATTGAGAATCGATTTCAGTGTAATTTAACTATATTTTACCCATTGTATTTTATTTTCTCGAATGATGTTTTATCTTTTACTCTCCTAGGCCCCAATTTCTCTTTCCGTTTTCACAGGAATTCGAGGTTTGGTGAATCTCCCAGTAACTAGCTTGCAGACTGGTGGTACTGCTTGGTTTACTGACTTAACAGCATCCGATCCCTATTGCATCTTACCATTTCTCTCCATGAGTTTACTCATGCTGACATTTGAGGTAAAAGTATCATTATACTTCACTTTTCATCTTTCTAAATATTTCTTTTTTTGACCTGACGAACACGATTTACATCAAACCAGAAATGGAGAAAAAATTATAAAATAATATAAGACGGTTCATGAATCCGTTGTATTGTTTCTTTAGGAAGCTGATTTATTGACTGACAGGTAGAACAAGTAAATTGGTCAAACATATAATTTGTCTTTCAGTTACTGGACATGTTGTTAAACTATGTTAAATCAATCGATCTTACATGACTGTTTCTTGTAATCAACTTATGTGATCTGTAAACCACTGATCATAGCATATTACCAATTAATAAAGTTGAATTTTCATCTTTAACTCATGACTTTCAACCTCCGTAAAGCAGTTTATATCGAAGACGATTCTAAAAATCACTTGATAAACGTTTTGCTTTCATAATGCCATGAAAAAGTTTTTGTAAATCAATTGAAGTGATAAGAGGTGGCTTATTGACACCTTACGAGAACCAAATTAATAACATCAAATGGTGAAATTCAATAGAGCGAATGGCTAACTAGAGTAAGTCGATATAACTTAAAGGGATTTTGGAGATCGGTAATTATTCAATTGCATTTAATACTCTAATTATCAAGTATATATTTTCAATCGCTAACTTGCTATGTAAACACTAAGACGGTAGTCTAATTTTATGGAGAAAGTATTTATTTATTCTCGGGTCAAATACCCATAGAAAAATACAGTTTGGGTACTGACTTACTAGTCAATGAACAAAAGGTAAAGCTTCAGTTTCATTTTCATTTTTTCATACATCAAATATTTAATTCTTCTATATTTAATCGGACTTCCTAAATGAAATATTTCATTTATTTCATTAGACTGGCGCTGAACTACGTTCGAGTCAGGCACAACCTGCTATGCGTGTTCTTTCAAAAGGGTTACCGGTTGTTGGTTTCTTTTTCGTAATGAACATGCCATCGGTAAGGTATTCATCTCAGATGTCAGTATGTGTTTGAATGTTCTAATCTTCAAAGTTAATCGCTTGTCATTGTTATAATGTTTAGCTTACTGTTAATCTTATTATTGAGAACACTTAATTAGGTTAATTATTCATGATAAGTCTGCTATTGGAGTTCTCAATTCCATGTCCTAAACCCCCAAACAAATTATCATGGTAAGTTGAGCACAATATAAAAGGTACGTAGTGCACTGGTCAATGACTGGTGATAAGAATTTATTTGACTCTCAAAATAAACCAAACTAAATTATGGATACACCACTTTTTATGTGATTTATTTACTATAAGATTTGTCCAATAATAATTCAACAATTTACTATATATAATCACACACAAACAAATCATTTCAGTATTCTACAAACAAATGTGTGACTAGTAGTTAGTGCCAATGAAAATCACTTTTTATGTACTTTTTCTAATTTGGACATTTGTAAGTACATTAGAAATAACTAGTATTAGGTTCCAAGTCCTAGGATCCTTCTTATTTCATATGCATATAGCCTCTTGATATCAAAATTATTTCCAGCTAGTTTAGTAAATACTAATTGAGACTTTCTGTAAGGACAGATATAAGTAAAGTGGATAAAGGGCTAGTTGGAACCAACTGCAGAAGTTTAAAACATTTATGAAAACAACATACCCAAATAATGTACATGAAACTTCAAGTCGATAAAAATTCAAAACATCAATATAACTAATACAGTTGATATAATTTTTAAGTACCATTAGTTATTCAAATGAATTTAATTAAGATATCCTATTCAAATACATATTGCAAAAAGGTATCTCAGTCAGTAGATGTTTCTCAGTTCCATTACTTTATTTTTAAAAATATATTATACTTTCTTTTATTCCAACAGGCTTTGGTATGGTATTGGACTGTTAGCAACATAGTTTCCCTTCTACAATCAATAATTCTACGCCAACCGTTAATTCGTTCTTATTTAAACCTCCCATCTGTTAAAAAACCTCCTTCAGTGATCGAAAAGAAGCGTGGTTTTATCGCAGGATTCAAAGAAAGTAAGTTCATAGACGTTAACCACTTTTTTATTTATTCAACATACTCCTTCTGATTAAATAATGATAGAGCAATATGAGAATTATCATTTCTATCTAGAAGAATCACCATAGTATACTCATTTTCATTTTATTTAAACTGCCATATGTAAATACTGTTCTGAAATACAAATTTATTTACAATATTTTCATTATTGTAAAACGATTTTTATTGATACTGATGTTCGGATTACATTCACAATTTCTTTATATTTTAATTCTCTTTACATCAATGCCTGTCTACAACTTTTTCCGTATTTTATTTCTAGTAAATGTTCACAGTGCATTTATTGTTGTCCCACACTCTCGATTTCATTCTTCATAAATGATTTACGAAGTGTTATCATAATATGTGGAACAATCTTTTTATTGATATCATGAGCCGATCAATGTTCGACCAACATTGACAACCTGGAAACACTGGACAGCTTCCAGGTTGAATGGTTTATGATATTAATTAAAAGTCAACAATTTCCACCACTCTATACTGACAATTTTTTTATTGTAATCACTTTTTTCAATAGGAAACAATTGTATGGTTTTCCGATTTAATAGTCAAATTTATTTATTGACCTTGAACAACTTGGCCATATCTTTTCAAATGAGTAACTTGTATAGTCCCTTTCAAAATGTGACCTACGGAATTCGCTTATTTCAACTATGTTACTAATGAGTAACTAATTTTTTGTAAACTGTTTTTCTCAAGATTCATTGTCGGTTGCTATTTAGCTGCTTTCCTATTCTTTCGCCCAAGCACTGGGTTCCTCGGCAGTGCGAATCAACGACCTTGTCGAGGATTTAAACTAGCCGTTTAAGTCTCAAAGCGGGCGTTTAACTTGTCGATTACGTAGGGGGCATCCATCTGTTTTCACCATTAACGATATTTTGCAATTATCCTTAAATACCCTTACTGAGTAACTGTCTTCCAGAACACACTTCGATTATAATAATCACATACTCACTAGCGAATAGCTTTGATAGATAAGCCCCTGAATTCTAGTTATAAGCAATGACCAGTGGAGTTCAACAATGTCGTGTGAGGCAGTTACCCATAAATGACATTAGATGATTTAACGATATTTGGAATTTATCGATGTCAGACACGAATAATCGCATACAACTTCAGTAGTCTAGAATTTAAGGACTCACCTTAAGACTCGAACGTCTGGGTTTGGTCCCTGACTGAATTATGGATAGACTGCGGAGTCCCATACTAAAACAAAGCAACTGCACAATGCTTCATGGTTTTTAATTGTTGTTCAACTAAGAACAGTTCATGATGTTAACTATAAAATTCAAAGATCTCGGCAAACCACTTAAGATACTTTCTTGTTGATTGAAGTAGTAATATCAACCCAGTCATTTTTGTTCTCGTCTGTAATGAATATTGGTCGTTTTATAAACATCTTTATATAATTTCTGGGAAATTGGAAAGTCAGTATGGCTTTAATTGTGTTCGGGCGCATTATTCCAATGAATGTGATACTGTTTCTGTTTTCTATAATAAATTTTTCTTATTTAGATTGTTCTGGGGTTTAGATTTTTGATAATTTAGAGAAATATTCTGTTTTTTGAAAATTCTACAATTATAAAACAGGCTATTTATCATGTATATTTTATTCACAGTTGTCATCTGCACAATTTTCGTATTTAGAAAGTAGCTATATTTTTTCCTTTACACACATAAACATTGGCACAAGAAGGTTCATTTCACTTACTTACATCTGCTACCCCTCATGGAGGAGTATCGGCCGTCCATCACTGTCCATCCAACTTTGTCCTGGGCAATCCTTTCCAGTTGCTATTCATTCTTTTCATGCCTGCTTCCGATTCCCGACGTAGTGTGTTCTTCAGTCTTCCTCTTTTTCTTTTCCATTTAAGATCCCAAGTTAGCGCTTACTTTATGATTTCCTCAATGTGTGTCCTATCCACTTCCAGAGTCTTCCCCTAATTTACCCCTTATCTGTAGGCTGGTTTGGCCTCTCCCACAATAAACTGTTGCTGATGGTATTCGGCCAACAGATATTGGTTATCTTGCGTGGACAACTGTCTGTAAATACATGTACCTTTTTGATGATGTTTGTGGTAGATCTCCAAGTTTCAGGTCTATTCAGTAGAACTGTCTTGCCATTCATATTGAAGATTCGGACTTTGATATTAGTTGACGGTTGTTTTGAGTTCCATATGTTCTTCAATTGTAGGAATGCGGCCCTCGCTTTGCCAATCCTCGCCTTTATGTCTGCACCAGGTCCTTCTTCTTCATCGATGATGCTTCTCAGGTACGTGAAGGATTCCACATCTTCCAGAGCTTCCCCATCAAGTGTGATTCGGTTGCTGTCCTCCATGTTGTATTTGAGGATCTTAGTTTTTCCTTTGTGTATGCTGAGGCCTATGGATGCAGAGGCTGCTGCTACACTGGTTGTCTTCATCTGCATTTGTTGATGTGTATAGGATAGAAGGGCCAGGTCATCTGCGAAGCCCAAATCTTCTGATTGATTCCGAGCTGTCCATTTTATTCCATGCTTTCTGTCAGATTTTGAGGTCTTCATGATCCAGTCAAACACCAGAAGCAAGAGAAAGGGGGAGATTAAGCAGCGTTGTCTGACACCCGTCGTCATTTGGAATGCATCTATCAGCTGTCCTCTTTGCACGACCTTGCACTGTAGTCTGTCGTTTGAATTCTGTATGATGTTGACGATTTTCTCAGGTACTTCATAACGTCGAAGGAGGTTCCCTAACGTTCTTCTATCCACACTGTCGAACACTTCCTCATATTCAAGGAAGTTGATGTATAGTGACGAGTTTCATTCAATTGATTGTTCAACGATGATCTGTAGTGTCGCGATCTGGTCTTTGCACGACTGATCCTTACGTAATCCAGCCTGTTGATCTCGAAGTTGGACGTCTACTGAGTCTTTCATCTGGTTCAGCAACTGTGCTGAAAACTTTTCCTGGTACTGACAGTAGTGTGATGCCTTTATGGTTCTCACATTTGCTCAGATCTTTCTTTGGAATCTTGATGAGGTGACCTTTTTTCCAGTCCGTCGGCACTTGTTCTTACTCTTAAGCCTTCCTGAATCAAATGTGGGGCATATCTGGAGTCACCTTAATGTTTGACTTCATTGCTTCTGTCGGTATGTTGTCTGTTCCTGCTGCTTCCTCACTCTTGATTTGTCTGATGGCCATCCTAATTTCTTCCGTCGTTGGTAGAGTGACATCTATAAAAACGTCTGCATTTGCTGCTTCGATGTCCAGTGAATTCAGTGAAGTTGGTCTATTCGTGAGTTCCTCTAAGTATTCTACCCATCTGCTCCATTTGTGTGGTGGCTGGAGTATTGCCCGATGTCCAAACCAAAGTACGTTATTTCTAGGGGGTCATTTTACGAGCGTTTGATCTAAAGGTCTAATCCACAAAGCGGTGGAGCAATGTTAGGAGATACAGTCCCATGATAGCCATTTGCCATAATAATAAGCTCAGTCGCCATTTGTCTCCTCAGGTTTCTGGAGCCCATGTGCAACTCTCCTAGGTGGATCGTCCATATTCACCAACCCGTTTAATGCACCGGACATTCGTCCTCTCAACAACAACACCGCCGCCACGAAAAGGCAGTGAGTCGGACTTCTTTGACAGTGGCTGTATACACGTAGCCATGTGAGAGCGAGAGTAAACTCTTCCCACCCTCGGCTATACCAGGGCATTTGGGGGTGAAGTACTGTTTTCACGTAGTACACGATGCATGTTGTTAATATAAATCACAACCCTGATATTTTTGCATTTACGAGGAATTTCGCTGAGGTGAATCGAATACCAGTTATTACCTATTGTTGATTAACTTCATGGAATATGTTTCACTAAATAGTTTTTACATGCAGTAAAACTAAATTTAGGTGTTACAAAATTTCAACTGGTTGCTTTCAGGTAGAAGTCATTAATTAATGTGAAAATGGCATCATTTTATCAGTTATGTTTTTGCATCTGACTAAACACTGAAACTTAATTGTTCACGCCCTGACAAACCAAACCCTAATATACTTTACAGTTGGGTAAAAACATCAGAAAATATAAGATGATAAATCTATTGAGATTTCACTTTGATTTTACGGTAGCGTCTGAAATAGTGTTTAAACTGCGATTTAAAATTTCACATTTTGCTTGAGCGTCTGGCATTGCCAAACAGATTATATTCTAACTGAACTAAGTCCCATATCCCAACCAAATATATTATAGAAGACTGATTTACTGACAGAATTTAAGTAAGAGAATTAAATCTAGTGTTTCTATGTTAAATAATCCAGCTACTAGTATTTTTGAATTCCATATTAGGTAATAGATAAACAATTTTAAAATGCTAGGGATCAATAGAAAAACTCAAAACTGAACTCCTTTCAGTCTTATGAGGAATAAGATGACTTTGTGACCCTTCGTTCTGGAGTTAAAAATAAATATCAATAGAACTAGGTTGTGTAACAATGACCATTTCTTATATTCCATTTTAGGCATTTTTTCCTATGTAGAACAACTACTGGTTTATTCATGTTTTCTAAACTTTTGTTTGATATACTGAATTACCTAAATAAAGCCAACTGGATGGATCTAAAAATGTATTTACTGTTTTCCCTTTTCATGTGACTTTTAAATGCTTGTTGACAGGGGAGATATTTCGGTTTTTTGATTATCACGGTTTTAGATCTTAGTTTGAATGAGTTACTACTACTTGTCTTACACATTGATGGATAAAGCTTTCTTTTGAACTTGTTTTTTGAATAATTTTGCTACCGCGACACATAGATTGCTTCATTTGTTTGCGAATAAAATTTATACTCTTTGTACAATTCTTGTCAATAAAGTCCTTGGGTGCTACATTTTATTGATTATTGAGTGTTATTAATATGGGCATACTATTCTCTTTTTTGTCTTGTTCATAGTCGATTGAAAATATTTCCCTGTTTATAGACAGTATTAGTGTCATGGTTATTTTTGTTAAAATTTATTTTATTTCTTAAAGCGTTAACTAATTCACGCTTGTTAGCGGAGTTGGATTCAAGAGAACGAATAGATGCGAAAGCTTGGCAGAAATCTGGTCATAAGGCTCCTCCTGTTACATTTATTTCTGACCCGACCAAGCTTACATCAAACCACGAAAAAAAATTTTCTTCTGACAAAACAACTGATAACGGATCACGAGTGCAGTTAAAAATGAAACAAAGCCTCGGCAGTCGGTAATATTTCCAAGCTTACAAAAACAGTTTATGTGTTTTCTTCTTTATGACAAAAAATATTTCCTGGATTTGTATGGTCATTTCAAAAGAAAATAATAGATGATTTTACATTGACGGATTCTACTTTTAAATGTTAAGTTTACGTCGGTGTTATTCGCATAAAACTTCCGAAAAACTACCACATGCCTGTGGATTACCATGTTCGTACTTTCATGTTATAATAAAAAAATCAAAAGCAATAATAGGGGTCCTTGGTTATTATTCACGTTTCAATCATTTGGAATTTATTCATTATATTAATTACTACGTCCTTAGATGTATGAAATGTTTAGGAAATATCTAGACAACGAATTAAAATTACTTTGGCATAAAGTTGTGATTATTTGCCAATAATGTTTTCATTAAGCTTCCGTCGATGCTTAAAATGCAACTGCTAACGCACTTATGGCCTCGTTGTTTTCAAAAACATTATTTCGATCGACTCGAGGTCGACGGTAAACCACAAACATTTTTAGTGTAAATTGCATTATTCCATCAAAACTAAGGTCGAAGTGATAGGACAATGGTTTACGATTCAAAAGCTCAATTGTATTGGGCTTTTCAGTTCGGGGTTGTGGAAATTGTTGAATTTCATTAAAATCATGGACCGATCAATGTCAGACCACCATTGTAAACATGGAAACATTGGACGGCCGTTCCGTATTATGCTTGGCGTATAACCTTGATGCTCCGAGTTCAACTGAATGCTGATCGTGGTCATGCGCTTCGGATGATATCAAAACAAAATAACTCGACTGTTAAGTACATCTCAGTTTTCAGAGGTTATCTAATTCAAACCAGTTCATAATCACATACAAGTTTCTTGCAAAGTCGCCGAAACAAAAAACAAATACAATCTAGGAGAGGAAAACACCGAAAGTACGATGCGACAAAAAAAGAATTCATTACATCACTTGGCTCTGGTCATAAAAATTGGTTACTTGGCTTTTTGGACACTTCATTGCAATCTATAAACCTACCTGCCAATAGAAAGCAACTTAGGGTACCGAAATCACTGATCAAGCTACGCCAAGTTGTCTCATGGGATCTTTAGCCCGATACGAATATGTCTGTATGCTACTTGGTGAAGAACCTATGAGAACATGTCGATTCGGGAATACTGATGATGTGTAGAATAGTGGCCTTAATAATCCTTTAACGCTTTGTTAGGGCTCGTGAGGAGCGAACTCAGGCCTGAACGTAAGCTCAAATCATCGCCTCTCGTCACGAAATAACTACTGGGTTCCAAACGTAGTTGTATCTCTCGATCTTAAGGCAGCTTTCAGCTCTGCAAATCAACAGGTTTAATGGCAGTATCCGCGATCGAATGACGTGACAAAGTATATTAACCTATACAGACTACCCCAAAACATCGTTAATCTAATCACAGCTTACAGAAAACCGTCAACCTGGTATGATGTTCTTCACGGTTTTCTGCTTTCCCCATTTTTATTTAACTTCGTCATAGGTGAGAATCGTATCCCTAGAAGATTGCCAGAGTTTTCAGGAGCTGACGTCCTACCAACAGATTTAATTAATGACTTCGAATACGCGAGTGAAGATGCAGTCTATTGATCGCATTGCGTAAAAATATTTTGAATGCATTCTTTTCTGCCCAAATGAAAGATACTGGTCTGTGTTGGCACCTGAAATAATAGCGCGTAAGTTAGGCGTGTATCGACCACTTCAATTACCTTGAAAGTTCTACCATGGTCCAGATATCTTGCAGACATTTTGATCATCGGTTATATATTGGTTAATTCTAATAGTGGGACATTATTTAGTTCTTACAATGCCTTAAACTGCTGAAAAGAGCATTCTTTTGTGAATGCGGGAGCGTAATGACTGCGAGTACAGAGTAACAAAGTAGTATGATATTTTGCCGCAATTTTCGCTAACCCTGAAGCTAAAACATGAAAAGTAGTTTATATAAGTCTGTGGATAATCTTAATAAAGTTTCAAAAAATTCTGCTGGTCAAAATTAGTGAGATGATATAGGCTAAGACTTAAGGATTAGGACGAATATGTGATGCTAAGGATTTGGGGTAATGTTGGGATAGCAGTTGGAGTTGGAATTTAGGTAGATTGATCGTAAAATTCAATCCTGACTGTAACCTTAAAACCTGATCTTGAACCTTAAGTCCGTAACTAAGCTGTCTGAAAAACTATTTCTTTTAGCAAAAATTATAAAATCTCCATATTAGTCCCAAATCGCAATGCTATCGCATTACAACTATAGATGCTAGTCAGAAATTCTAATCTTAAGCATAAGTATCTAATGGTGCTTGCGTAGTCAAAGCTGGTTATCTACGTTGAGCGATTTGATGTGACCCTGTTGCTGTCTGCATGTTTATTCTTGACGCACACTCATGGTTCCACTTTCTGAATCAAGTTATGAGTAGTATTCAGGTTAACCTTCAAACTAATTTGGAACTAGGGTTCGGATTATGACACATAAACTAACGTTAATTCCTATGACTATACTCGGATCCTAACCCCAAACTATAATGATTAAAAGCTCGGAGCCAATCTATAGAAGTTCGTTTAAAAATTAAAATCACAAAACCTAGTAAATCCTTCATTTCCTATTCTGACTAATTCACTCAAATCTACTTTTCTTCTAATGGCTTGAATTAGTCAGGGTCCAAAAAGACTATAATTTATAAACAGACCCAACATAATAGGTCTTGGGTCTTTACGTGAATTTCAGTAGTTTCCTTCAATGCAGAACATTGAAAATTGTCAGGAAACTCTGTTACTGCGAGCTCAAAGAGCTGTTCACAATACCAAAACATTCATACACTCAAACAAGAATTGCTAAGACTTTCAGGGAGACGGTCAGATCTAAGATAGTGTTAACTGAACTTCACGTGACGTTCAAGACAATTTATTATGGCCCATGAATTCATTGGGATTACACGTTAAGCGTAGTTGGCGTGATTCTAAGCACAGTCAATCGTCTTTGTGTAGCTAAAAGATATTCACCCACTCTAACCCCTACTTCTAAAACCTTTTAAAACCTAACACAGTAGGACTATGTTAGCTGAAACTTTCGACTTAACACCTCTTGAATTTGCACGCTAAATTACTTTATCCATGCTGCCACAATTTATTCGTGCATTGTAGTTGGTTTTACTGCATGATGAAAACTCTGCGCATAGTTTCCAATCTAAACAATATAATCTATCTCTGCTTCTGATTCCGAATTATAGGTCTTTCCAATCATTAGTCATATCGAAACTTTATTTACTTCAGTTTCACTACCTTTCATTAGGAACTTCTTTATGACTAAATGGTTTTCTGATTGTCTGATAAATCGCTCAGCGTCTTCTCTTTTTCATTTATTTAAACACAAACATTGGTACAAGGAGGCACGAAATAAATCATTCGATTCGTGTGAGGGTTAGGATACTGCCCGGGTGTCCAAACCATAGCATGTGGTTTTCTTAGACGGCCACACCACGAGCCTTCGACCTAAAGGTCTGATCCACAAGGCAGTGAAGCAACCTAACGAGATGCAGTCCCATGGTAGCCGGCAACCAACGATAGGTTCATACGACATTTATTTTCTGGAGCTCATGTGCACCATTGGCTTGGAATCAGGGTTTTACAACTCCTGTAGGTGGGACCTCCGAATTCAACAACCCGATTGAAGCGCCGGACATTCGCTTTTCGTCCTCTCAATTTCGCAAACAACCTCGCCACGAGAAGGCAGTGAGTAGGCCACTTGCTTACAACCACTGCCAAGGAAGTCCCATTCACTGCATTTTTGTGGCGGGTGTGTTGTTTACGAAATTGAGAGGACGAAAAACGAATATCCAGACCTTTAAACAGGTTGAATACGGAGGATGCACCTCGGTAAATTGTAAAACCACCTGCTTCGGTTTGGATACCCGGGCAGTATTTCAGCCTTTACACGATTCAAATGATTTATTTAGAGCATATTTATTTGGTGCCTTCTTGTACTAATGTTTATGTGTTTAAATAAACAAAATTTTGAGTGTGAGAGATTACCCTCCAGTTTCCAATCATTGGCTACGACAGTCGTGCAGACCTCAACCAATTAGTCTGCATCTACCAACATGGCTCAGACCAGAATTTGGTGACTTCATGGACTGATGCCACATTTTGGTTTGGCCGCCCCTAACTTCCAACCGTCTAAAACATCAGCCAGCATTGCGCGTCGTGGTAGTTCGGCATGCGTAATACGTGGATCGACCATCTCAATCGATGAAGATTCACAACCGCATCAACTGGTTTACCATAATTCCCTAATACTCTGCGTCTGATACAAGAAACAACACAATCTTTAGTCCATAATACTGGGAATTTTTGTGTGGATTACGCCCAAAATATTTTATGGCTCAACTGCTGTACCTAAATTAGTCTCGAAATAGTTTACCTCACCACTTAAAACCTCTTGAACAAAAAATTGACTCAATTGGTGCAACAGGAACAGCTATTTCAAAGAACCTTTTTTCATGGAGTATGTAATATTTCCGGGGTTAAAAACATTCAATACTTATCGTCTAATATTGATCAATTTAAAATTGTCCCGGAGTCCATATGCAATACTCATTAGGAATCACGGTTTCCCAGGTGAATCCTCTGTACCCACCAGCCCGGCTCAAGTGCGACTTTCGCTTTTCGTCTGCCCAATTTTGTAAACAACAACCCAACCTCGAGAAGGCAGTGAGGAATTCGCTGACAGTAGCTATATACGCATGGTCATGAGGTCATTTTGAGAGGGAGAGTGGAATTCGTCGTACTTATTTGAAAAACGTCATTCCTCATATTCACGATACAAATTTTACGGAAATTACAGAATATTATGCAGACTATAACAACTCCGCCTGGAGTCCCTCCGGGGGCTGCTGCCGGTCCCAAGCCCGGATAAAGGGGGAGGGTTGGGCATGGGGTTAGCGCCCCCATCCCGTAGAAAACTAACTCGCTAAAAAACGCTAACCAGAAAAAATTATTCAAACCCTTTTAAACTCTGCCCTGGGAGTCAGAAGGTCTTCATTTAGAAGAATTATGACGCCTCATGATGAAAGCCGAATTCCTTCGGAAGTTACGAGGCTGATGCCCCTTCTGACAACCAGAGCGACCATTTATTTAGGTACATGGAATGTTCGTACAATGTGGGACACCGGAAGAGCCTTCCAAATTGCTGCAGAAATGAGAAGATACAACCTAGAGGTACTTGGGATCAGTGAAACACATTGGACACAAGTTGGACAACAACGACTAACTTCAGGAGAGCTCCTGTTATACTACGGCCATGAAGAAGAAAATGCACCACATACACAAGGAGTTGCATTGATGCTGTCCAAACAAGCGCAAAATGCACTTATAGGATGGGAATCTCATGGACCAAGGATCATCAAAGCCTCGTTCAAAACAAAGAAAGAGGGTATTTCAATGAACATCATCCAATGCTATGCGCCTACCAACGACTACAATGAAGAAGTTAAAGATCAATTCTACAATAGGCTGCAGTCAATCGTAGAGAAGTGCCCAACAAAGTACCTGACCATTCTGATGGGAGATTTCAACGCCAAGGTTGGAACGGATAACACCGGATATGAAGACATCATGGGACGACACGGACTGGGAGAAAGAAACGAAAATGGTGAGAGATTTGCAAATCTATGTGCCTTCAATAAACTGGTCATAGGCGGCACCGTATTCCCACATAAACGCATACACAAAACCACATGGACTTCACCGGATCACTCTACACAAAACCAAATCGACCATATTTGCATCAACAAAACGTTCAGGAGGACTATAGAGGACGTGAGAACCAAGAGAGGAGCTGATATAGCATCAGATCATCACTTACTGGTCGCCAAGATGAAATTGAAACTCAAGAAGCACTGGACAACAGGGCAGACAGTATCACAAAAGTTCAATACGGCCTTTCTCCAAGATATTAACAAACTCAACAAATTCAAGATAGACCTCAGCAACAAGTTCCAGGCCTTTCATGATCTACTCAATGGAGAAGGAACTACTGTGGAGAGCAACTGGAAGGGGATCAAAGAGGCAATCACTTCAACATGTCATGAGGTCCTAGGTCACAAGAAGCATCACCACAAGGAATGGATCACTGTTGATACACTGGATAAGATTCAAGAAAGAAGAAACAAGAAGGCAGCGATCAATACCAGCCGAACAAGAGCAGAAAAAGCCAAGGCACAAGCTGAATACACGGAAATAAACAAATAAGTGAAGAGGAACATCAGAACCGACAAACGTAAATATGTGGAAGATTTAGCAACGACGGCGGAAAAGGCTGCAAGAGAAGGAAACATGAGACAATTGTATGACACAACAAAGAAACTCTTTGGAAAGCGCCGTAAACCAGAACGACCAGTGAAAAGCAAGGAAGGTAAGGTAATCACCAACATTGAAGAGCAACAAAACAGGTGGGTAGAACACTTCAAAGAACTCTTGAATCGACCAGCTCCACTGAACCCACCCAACATCGAAGCAGCACCCACGGACCTCCCAATCAACGTTGGCCCACCAACAATTGAAGAAATCAGTATGGTCGTCAGACAAATCAAGAGTGGCAAAGCAGCAGGACCGGACAACATTCCAGCAGAGGCACTGAAAGCAGACGTAGCGGCAACTGCAAGGATACTCCACATTCTCTTCAATAAGATGTGGGATGAGGAACAGGTACCAACAGACTGGAAAGAAGGACTTCTGATCAAAATACCGAAGAAAGGCGATCTCAGCAAGTGTGATAACTACAGGGGCATCACTCTTCTCTCAATACCGGGAAAAGTCTTCAACAGGGTATTGTTAAACAGGATGAAGGACTGCGTAGACGCCCAACTTCGTGACCAACAGGCAGGATTCTGTAAGGATAGATCGTGTACAGACCAAATCGCAACTCTACGGATCATTGTGAAACAATCAATTGAATGGAATTCATCGCTCTACATCAACTTCATTGACTACGAAAAGGCATTTGACAGCGTGGACAGAACAACACTTTGGAAACTTCTTCGACACTACGGCGTGCCTCAGAAGATAGTTAATATCATACAGAACTCATATTATGGACTACACTGCAAAATCGTGCATGGAGGACAGTTGACAAAGTCATTCGAAGTGAAGACCGGTGTTAGGCAAGGTTGCTTACTGTCACCCTTTCTCTTTCTCCTGGTGATCGACTGGATCATGAAGACGTCAACGTCTGAAGGGAAGTGCGGGATACAATGGACATCCAAGATGCAGTTGGATGATCTAGACTTCGCAGACGATCTGGCCCTTCTATCTCAAACGCAACAGCAGATGCAGGAGAAGACGAACAGTGTGGCAGCAGCCTCAGCAGCAGTAGGTCTCAATATACACAAAGGGAAAAGCAGGATTCTCCGATGCAACACAGAATGCACCAATCCAATCACAATTGACGGAGAAGATTTGGAAGATGTAAAAGCCTTTACGTATTTGGGCAGCATCATTGATGAACAGGGTGGATCTGATGCAGATGTGAAGGCGCGGATCGGCAAAGCAAGAGCAGTATATTTACAACTGAGGAACATCTGGAACTCAAAGCAACTGTCAACCAACACCAAGGTCAGGATTTTCAATACAAATGTTAAGACAGTTCTACTGTATGGGGCAGAAACCTGGAGAACTACAAAAGCCATCATCCAGAAGATACAGGTGTTGATTAACAGTTGTCTACGCAAAATACTTCGGATCCGTTGGCCGGACACTATTAGCAACAACGTACTGTGGGAGAGAACAAACCAGATCCCAGTAGAGGAAGAAATCAGGAAGAAGCGCTGGAAGTGGATAGGACACACATTGAGGAAAGCACCCAACTGCGTCACAAGACAAGCCCTCACATGGAATCCTCAAGGCCAAAGGAAAAGAGGAAGACTAAAGAACACATTACGCCGAGAATTGGAGATAGACATAAGAAAAATGAACAAGAATTGGATGGAACTAGAAAAGAAGGCCCAGGACAGAGTGGGTTGGAGAATGCTGGTTAGCGGCCTATGCTCCATTGGGAGTAACAGGCGTAAGGAAGTAAGTAAGTATGCAGACTATAACAAGGCGTTGTGTAAACACATAGTACCCGGGAGAACAAAAAAGGCAGGAATAAAGCACAACCTCTTCTGTAGGATTACTCTGCCAAAGTACAAAATTGACAGGAAGTTGTTCGTAATTCGGGCCACTAACGGTGAACATTAAAATAAATCCGAATTTACAAATAAAATCGTTGAGTACCTCAGGCTACAAAAATCTGCGTTTTCGACAACAGAACAGTCAGTACAGTAACTTGACAAATTATTTAGATATGAGACTGTTAATTAGTAAACTCGAAACGTTTTATTATTAGAGAAAGAATCCAGCGGTAACCAAGGAAAGAATTACTAACCACTGAACAAAAATTGAGTCGCCTATTTTGCTATTAATACTGTTATTAGACAATTTACAGCTGTTGTCTCTGCAACTACTACAAAGGTTTAATTTTACAACTAACTTTTTGGTTCTCCAAGTAACGCTTGAACAGTATATTTGAGCTCAGTGTCAAACGCCATAATTTTTGGTCAATTTATTTAAAATGACGAAAATTTTAGCAGTTATGTTCCTAAGTCACATGTTACGTAAATTTAAACAAAATAGACCATACTTCTAGATCCTACTTCATTTGATTTAACGTACTGTCCTGAAGAACTCACTTAGAAGGTATAAGAAACGCTGTACAACCCGTCGCTCCCTAATCACCCATAACCTGGATTTCGTTTAAAAATTAAAGGCAAGCAAACAGCCATGTAATAGAGTACACTTACATTGGGAGATTTCACATAAGGAAGATAAACAAGAAAGTAGTTTATAATCTTAATAATCATAAAAACTAACAATAGTAATTGCCCATTCCCAATTAATTGGTATTTAGCTGCAGCTAGCAGGTACCAACTTTAGTTATGCAAAAAAACTATCTCCCATTGGAGGTGACTGATATTAAATGAGTGAAGACACGTCAATGGTACAGGTATCATTAATTAGCGACAGCACATCACTGTGATGATATTCATCACACTATCTGTACACAACGGTTAGTCAAAATTTGGATATTGACTCGGAAAATGGAACAAGTGGATGCTGAAACAGCATATTCTCGTTCGACAAAAGTACATCTCACCAGTCTGTAATCTCAGTTTATCTACAGTCTTAAGATTATTAAATGAGTTGCATTCTTTATTAATATAAAATAAATTACATGAATAATAAGTATTTAATCAAGATATTGAGCAAGCCAATTAAACGCTTCACCATACCCTTGCCGTTTTAATATACTGCACATGAACAGTTCAATAGGTCTCCCAGTAGGTATTTGAGTTTTATTAATGGTACCCTTTCCTGTTGTGATTCCCTGTAACCCCAAGAAATACCGCAATTCTTCCTCACTAGCTGCACCGGGTTTATCTATTTTGTTTCCGAGTATTAAAATAGGAGCGTGAGCTATCTGCTCATCCTGCAGGAGATTGTCCAACTCCTTCTTTGACTCCAAGAATCTTTAGTATGTACATGGAAATAATCCCAGTAACTAACCTGTTACGATCGTATGCATCTACCATAAAGACAAGGCCATCAACAGCTGGGATGTAATTTTTCCAGACGCGCCTTGCTTGTTCATGCCCACCAAGATCAAATGTTGTAAATCTCATCCCACCGATCGACAATTCTTCAGAAGTTGGATGAAGTGTTGGAACATGTTGAGCCATGCGATCATCTTTCAGACGATGCAGTAATGTTGTCTTCCCAGCATTATCTAGCCCTAAAAATACCAGCTTTCCGTTTTTTTGCCATAAGCCGAGATAACTCAGAACCTTTGACACAGAACCAGACAACCAGTCCCAAATAAAACTCATGATTTATACTAAATATATGAAGTGTCGTCGTAGATAGAGTACCGACATAATTTCTATTTACATCCGACACGGGGCTTTCAATGATACGAACAAACAATTGATAACCCTTACTAAGCAAATGGTAAGTTGATTGACTTGTATTATTTTTACAGTGAATTTTTATCTTCAAGGTCCAGTATGTTTTTATCATTGATTGGAAATGAAAGTATTTCCTCTCACTAGAATAAATTTCCAAATATTGATCAATTGATGCGAAAGAAGGATTCCTGTCTTTAGTTTTACCATCCGCGATTTGCGAACCGCTTTTAACGGGCTCAGAGGCTATTATTCTTAGCAAGAGGAGAAAACGAGATGTTACAGCACCTACTCAGTTCGCGGTTCACAATCCTGATATAAGATCACTTACTGTTTGTAGGGTTAGTGAAATGTCACTGAGCCCTAGCCAAATCATCCGGCAGTTGTGTCACTGTATACTGAACAGTTCATCGACCTCCGTCAAAGTCAAGAGCGAACAACGCGCACCAGTCAATCATACGCCATGGACTGCTGTATGCAGTGGTGGTCACACTTTCGCTTGTACCTTCTCTAACTAACACATTTCCATCGCAGTGCACTTTGTGCTATACTGTCCTCAAAGCAGCCACAGTACCTTGAAAAGTTGAAGGGATAAACCATATTAGGTGCTGACCGCAATGTGTGAGTTGGAAGTTAGCCTCTGGTCATATCATTCCCGTCTAACTCATGTAGGTCCCCAATCATTCGACAGAGATCGTCAACGTTGATGATCTACACTGGTGAGTAATACTTCGAATAACGCGACGTATCGTTGCATTTTATACTCATTCTTTTTCGTTTTTATCACCGCCTATGTTGATCAGTTGCTGTGGACATTCGTTGCTTCATATCAATGTTGATTAGTATTTAAACCTAAATAATTAGTTTATCGACAGAACTAGCCAATGTGCCACGAGTATAATGGCTATCGTGGTTCTTTAACAAACATTATTAGCATTTAAGTGCTTCTGTGTAAAGTTCTTCTGTCTTAAAATATCAACCATTCATAAGTACAGCCGTAAGGCAACAAGAACGCACATCTGTTTGTAACTTATCCACTAGTATAGGCGAGACAAAATTAACTGTCAATTATAAATTCATCTTTTTGCTTTTTCACTATCGACAATCTTCCATCCGAAACTATCCACTGCAAAATTTTACTTGCTTGATCTCTGCCTGCCTAATTTACAATTTTTTAGTTCCACGGTCAAACAGAGGACATGAATGCTATAAACCTACATGGAGTCTGAACTACAAATTTTCTGCAATCTTAGATCTCGTTTAGGGTGTTAATCTGACAACGCTACATATATGGCTTAAATTAATTTTGGACTTATCCAAATTCATTCTACAACGCTGTGTTAATCCAAGAATTTAATCAACAGTACCTCGTATATAATTAGGATTCGAGCAACTGTCTACTTTAAATTTTGATTACTTGGAAGCGAGAGTAACTTAGGTGAGTTTCATAATTGCATTAGATAAATTTGTACTATGTTTATAATGCCTAATAACATTTCGTAGTAAGGTCATATATATTATCAGTTTTCTGAAGTTTTAGTCGAAATCATGTACATTTATAACCCGTAAGTAGACACTGTGGAAAAATATATTGCATGTATATGCGCAATCTTAGTCCATGTCCTGAATAGGTAGTTCGTCTTATTACCGTGCGTAATATATTACTTAATGCTTCCTAATAATTTTTTCACACTGGTTGTTTACGAAATGGTCACGTTATCAGAACCCTTTAAACTTTAGTTGCACTGGTGGTTACCATTTTTACTAATGTTTTTATATGCTTTGTATTTGCTGTTGTATCATACGGTCAATCAAAACTCGACTTCATTATTACGTCAAAGCCATTTTAATTCCGTTTTTAGTTTATTTACATGCAATGCAAGTTTGGGGAATGTTTAAAAGACCTCCGATTTTCTCCGCGAACCCCTTCACAGTCTTCGTACATTATTTTATTCACACATCCAACTATTATACTAATTAAACCCAAAAGAAAGTTCACTGCAACTGTCGATATACATAAGAACGATGTTATTTCGATGTGACGTTATAATACATTGAAACAATTGTAATTATTCAACTTCGATTTTGTACTTCATTTTATCAAGTATTGTTTTCTCGTGGTTGTCATCTAACAGAGGATTTCGGCACATCAATCGGCTGTTCAACGACTCGGCATTTTAAAACCTATCCAATTCCATCGGTGGTCTGACGACATTATCAATCGCACGAATCATCAGTTCACTCAGTCGAGTGAATCTCCTGCAAAATAAAAACGACATTGTGGCCCTAATCCCAACACTGACAACGCTTTTCACGAGTATGATTGACACGAGTCCAGAGTGATACCCTTGGTTTCCTATTCTCCTTGCGATATTCTCCAGCTCATTTGTTGAACAAACATGCAATAATCACCGTTTATCATCACCATCATTAATTGTTTGGCAATCTTCAGCACTCAACTGCTCTCAACATGTTTGGTACCGATTCGAAAGGTCGATGAATCTGGCGGGGGAGTATTGTAGGGCCAGTGAAATATCACTGGGCCCTAGCAAAATGATCTGGCAGTTGGGTCACTGAATATCGAACAGGTCATCGATTCCTCCAATCATTCGACATAAATCATCTATGTTGGTTATATACATCTTGTCTTAGAGAGTGAAGGCAAAAGTGCTGCAATCACTCTTTGAAAGATAGAATGAGACGACCATTGAGTCATATTGCTCGTTGAACATGGTTAAAAGTGTTAACAAGGTAATAAAGATATGGACTAGTTACTACGATCGAATACTCGATTTGAGGTCTCACGTTGGTGAGCATAAAATCCAGTATAATAATAATCGAAGCTTGAAGCTCAGAAGAACCTTTTAGCAGTTGCCATATTGCAACTTGTTGGTCTTTTTAGGTTAGGACGTACGATTTTACTCAAGTGTTTTTTTTAAACTTTTTGGAAAACTTATATAATTAACAACAGATTAGTGACTAGTACTATTAGTGCTCTTCATTTGAAAACATTCCCTATGATGATTCCATAAACCCCAGCTTTGGAATCCTTCAAATCGCTTCGCAGCTGAAATACACCAGCATCGATTATTTTCGTTTTTCTAACCATAACATTTGCGAATAATCATTCTGGATATTTGAAGAGATTTGGCAAGCTAAATAGCCATGTGATAGAGTACACTTACATTGGGAGATTTCACATAAGGAAGATAAACAAGAAAGTAGTTTATAATCTTAATAATCATAAAAACTAACAATAGTAATTGCCCATTCCCAATTAATTGGTATTTAGCTGCAGCTAGCAGGTACCAACTTTAGTTATGCAAAAAAACTATCTCCCATTGGAGGTGACTGATATTAAATGAGTGAAGACACGTCAATGTTACAGTTATCTCTGAATAGGAGGACATATTTCGTGGTTCTTCTTAGCGCATTCACATCATTACTTAGTTTTTGTCCTCAAAGATAGTAGGATAATAGAATTTTCTATTGTCTCGGAAGATATTTTCCTTGTTATGCTTTCTACTATCGAGTTTTATTGTTTTGCTCCAGTATTCTTCCTCTTACTTCATAACTTCCTCAAAATAAAAGGATTGACGCTTTTTCTTCTGTTGCAAATTTTGATTAATACACCCTATAGAAGTACTTGTTACATTAATTATGGTGTTTTATAATTTTATATTATTCGTTGTAGTTGATAACATTTTTAATTCTGGTCTTGCACAATTTTTGCTGGCGATCACTTGCCTTCGGTTACTGATTTTAGAACCTCTGTGTACTGTTTATTTTTTCCATACTTTTTCAGTAGCATATTTGTGATGCTATGAGGGATCTTATTTTCTCGAAATTTTCCAATAATATGAGGTATTGAGTCCGTATAACTTCATGTTCCAGCGTGTTATGAAAAGTTACGTTGGTGATTTACTCTCATCTCAGAAGTCTAACTGATTCACAAGTCAAGTCCCCGAGAATTGGCATTTCTGAGGCCTCTTCTTTGCGGAAATAATATGTCAAATATATGAAGCAAACTGAGATTCATGGTAGGTTAAGTGTAAGCACCCTGTAGTACCCTGGTAGTACTGATTTATTATCCAGAGTGGTAATCACATTTGTTTTTGTGTACTTTAATATTTTTCCTTTGTTATGTCTTACCCTTAACCTGTCTAGTTGACCTTTTAATTTTTCATATATAAATGTTCTTAACAAGTATATGTGTGATCGGATTGGTCGAAATGTATTGCGCAAATATATCACATAACTCTGATAAACTACGTCTTCTCAAAGCATTATCGAAATTTATCAAAGGGACTAATTGTTCTAAATTTCTGAAGGTAAGATTGCTAAAAGAGAACTTCGGAATATTCTGTGATGGCGCAATCGCTTTCTTATGTTTGACGTTATCTAGCTGTGAACAAATATTTCATCCAAATGGCCATTACGAGGTTAGTAAGGCTGTTTAATAATATTTTAAAGGATCATAGAATGAGATGATTTTAAATACAACACCTGGGAATGACAAACTCTATTCTTAAACATGCCAGTACGACACTAACATGCTTACACCTGTTACTCCTCATGGAGGAGTATCGGCCGTCCATCACTGTCCATCCAACTTTGTCCTGGGCAATCCTTTCCAGTTGCTATTCATTCTTTTCATGCCTGCTTCCGATTCCCGACGTAGTGTGTTCTTCAGTCTTCCTCTTTTTCTTTTCCATTTAAGATCCCAAGTTAGCGCTTACTTTATGATTTCCTCAATGTGTGTCCTATCCACTTCCAGAGTCTTCCCCTAATTTACCCCTTATCTGTAGGCTGGTTTGGCCTCTCCCACAATAAACTGTTGCTGATGGTATTCGGCCAACAGATATTGGTTATCTTGCGTGGACAACTGTCTGTAAATACATGTACCTTTTTGATGATGTTTGTGG